ATGTGGCCAGGATACCATGACTGAGGCGGAGGTAATAGTGGGGCGAGAAAACGCGACAGCATCGTGGCAAGTCCGTGAAGCGAAGGAAGAGGGTCTAGACGGGGGGGGCATAGCGTCAGCATAGTGTCAGTTAGGCGTTACGATCGAGTGCGGCGTGGGGTTGGAAGAGGACGTATGGCCGCAAAACGGAGAGTGGATGCCAAAAGGAAAAAGGGACGAGGGATAGATTGACGTACATTTGCTGGTGAGAGGGAAGCACGTTGTGTCTGGGCTGAGCCGGGCTGGTGGACGATCGTGGGAAGAGTGCCGAGCTGTCAACGACTCTCTCGGCATTCATAAATCAGAAGACCAGATGACGGCCTCTAGCCTGATCAAGCCCCTTGCCATACTCGTCCTTCCGCTCTGCGTTCGGAAACAATCATCTATATCAGAGTGCCAGTTGATCTTCGCCGGCGCGAGCCATACGATAATCTACTTTCGACGAGAAATACAAAAAAAAAAAAGTATTATGATACGTCTTCTCCACGGCGGGAAGAGGGGGATATTGGTTGCAGAAGTAAAACCCGACGGCGTATGAAATACATGAGGATGGTAACAATGTGTGAAAGATAGCGCAGACCCAGCATAACAGTATGAAAATGAGGGGATATACATCAAAACAGACCATAGCAGCAGGCGGATGAATCCAGGGGATAAAAAAGCAAGCGTGGATGGGGAAACAGTGTGCTAATGACAGGGATAAATAAAAGCTGCGGCAAATGGCACACACTGCGGTGCCTCGCAGTGGCGCAGTGCCATCCGTCGTTTGCGTGTGCTGAAGAAGCGAAACGTGTAAGCCCAAGTCGAGCATCGGTACGACACGGCGCACCATCTCAAACCCAAGAGTCCTTTCCGAGTCCGATCGCATCAAAACTCTTCCCGCTCCGAGTCCTCCGCTCTTCTAATACCTGCACGTCATCGAGTTTTATCAACTTTTCCGATGGTGGTGGCGATCCCTCCACCCAACCCTTCCAACCCTTACGCGCTGCGGGCCGCTTCTTGCGGGATCGAGGCAGCGGTGGATCCTGCGTGTCCGTATGCGAGTCGTCCAGATCAGAATCGTCCCCTGGCGTGTGTGGTCGCTTGGATGACGTCCGAGATGTGCTCGACGAGATCGAGGGGCCCGGCGTTGTGGGGGGGAAGAGGGCATAGGTGGTGGCGTGACGGAGACAGAACGCTGCGTGGTGGCGAGGCGTAATACCGGCCGGGAACCCCAGGCCGAGGAAGAGGGCGTATCGAAAAGGAAATCATTGGAATGTAAGGTGGTATCGGCGATGGAGGGAACAATATCGTGGTGGGCGCCCGATGCACCGTTTACGGGCTCATCGTGGGCCGATTTGGCCCTTTTCTTGACGCTTTCGCGAGCCTTCTTGTCCCTCCGCCTTTCCCGCTTCATGTCGAGGGCCGACTCGACGAGGGAGTAGCGGGGGACGCCGTTGAGAAGGCTGGTGAGCACGTCCCTGGGGGGTCTTGGGTCAAAATCACCTGCCAGTACGGAAGTAGCGGTGCGACGACGACGTTTATGGGGTGGAATAGTGGAGGGATGTGGGGGGAAGGTAACGGCCATGTTATATCGGAGACGTGCTGAGAGGAAAGGTGGTATATATCCCAAGGAGTTGGGTGGAGCGGGTGAGCGTGGTAGCCTAATAAACAGACGAGTGAACGCCGGCAGTTATACTCGGCCAAGTGAAACGTAAATAATTACAGACAAATAGACACGTGGTTTTGTTTACCTTTTCCCACCCAGATAAGTCAGGCCCAGACAGAGAAGCCAGCTCCATTCTACACGTCCCTCCACCCACGCCCTTTCCCCACCCCCCGTTTTCTTTTCAGGGTCAAATATTTATTTTTTATTTTCTCGCTTTGGCTTATGCGCCTCGACCACCACTCCGGGTTCGCCACTGGGCGCAATCTCTTCCTTCTCGGCGACCCCCAGCTTTCCCTCCACATCCACACCGTTCCATGTCCCGTCCGTACCCGCCCATTCCTCCCGTTGCTGTGGAGACACGACACAATTGTCCCGCTCAACGCGCCCAGTCCTGGATCTCCTGGCCCGACAACTCGGACAGTGGGACCATCCCCTTACCGTCACTGCGCGGCTAACCGTCTTTGGAGGGGGAAGAGGTCTTTGAGCGCCCTTGCCCTTCCTGAGACGCTTGAGCGGCGTAGGAATCCCCTTATTTTTCTTTTTTCCACAATCTTATTTCTCGGTCATCCTGCTGGCCTCGATCTTGGGGCGTGGAAATCCATTGTGAATAACCCGATCCGGTAGCCTAATGACTGTAAGCAGTGGTTTCAAATATTCCTCACGCTTTTTGTCACCGGAATGCCCCAGAGCGGCTCCGCGGCGTGACCCGAGGAGTCCCCGTCCAAGCGCACGTTCGCGTTGAACGTTGATCACTCGTGATTACTGCTATTCCTAGCTCGCGCTTTTCTCACACCCGAGAAGCGAGTTTTGATCATGCACCCGTTGCATCACGGATCACCATCAGCGACCTGTCTACGTAGGTCTGGCTCTCCAGTGGGCGGTAATTTGAGCTCAAATCCTAAAAACCGGTTTGGTCATCAATACATCCTACCATCAGTTTGCTTACGGATCTGTCAAATTGAGACCCCCACTCAGCCAGGAACTTCTCTACGGAACGAATAGCCCCTATGGACCTCCCTAAATGGTCAATTCACGGTATCTCCCTTGCCACACAGCTCCATTCAGCTCGTCCTTCGATTTCGATGTGGCTGATCACCCCAGGCTCTTGGAAAACCTTGAGCTTCTTAATTTCCCCTCTTCCCCTCGACCTCACCTATGCCTCAAGTCACATTAATACGTGTGCGCTTGCTGTCATCCCCCCGCGCTCGAGTGCTATCTGTCTTGTGACCTGTCAGCAAGCCTATCGGCATCGCACTCATTTATCGAAAATGAGACGGCGTCAACCGTTTAGACTATGTTCGCCCAGATCCCTGGCTCTGCTGGGGATGAAAGAAAAAAAATAGAATGCAGTCAATCCATCCTTATTTCAACCGCACCGAGCTCGATCCTAAAATCTACCGGGTGTTCTAGGTTCCGCTTCTAGAATCTCTTGTTGCTGCCTGCTTTGCTCAGGATGACTCTTCCGGTCTGGACCGCTGTACCATCCTATTTTCCAGATAGCCGCTCACCAATCCAAACGATAGTTTCACTGAGGTTAGTTCTGTTGTGTCAATCCAGACAAGCCAAAGATCCGAGCCATTGCGAGGAATACGTGAATGGAAGTCGTCAATGGCAATGGACAGGGGAATATGAAATATATTTGTCCGTTGAACATCGGTACTACTACTGTGATGGTCTCGATCAATATTTTCGTGTGGCCTAGCCTGTAAGTAAATACATACATACATACACAGGCAGCGGTAGCATGGCGTGGTGATGTACACCAATGCCTCACTCAACTCGCGTGCAGGGTGCATGCACAGGTTCAAGTGCGCAGCGTCCCCCCGACTGCGGCCGGCCGTATGATCTATGATCCATCTCTGCTGCGGCCGATCAGTGGGCTCCAAGAGCACCTGGTCACCACAGCACCCCAACTTTCGTGCGTCAACCATCAAAAATATTGACGCGATGCAACAGCTGGGGCAGAGCGAGCCAATACGCGAACCCAGCCCCACAACAGCCCGGAGTCGCAGTCGCAGATAAATCGGATCGGATCCAAAAATTGATCCATCCATCAAAGGGGAGAGGACGGGACAATAAAACTAATTGCAAATAACAAGAAGAGTTAATTAATGTTACGGACCCGCGCGAGATGCAAGCGAGCGAGCGAGACAAGAACGAGAAGGGCCGGGAACACGAGGAATGGAGAATCAAATAGAACGGCGAGGCGAGCGAGAACAAAACCGTTTCGACACAAAGCGCCTCGATCCCCGGAGGCGGTGCTGGCACATGCACCGCAGCGTTATTGTATTGCTTTGTTATTGTGCCGCCGGCCGGCCCAGCGGCAGAGGGAATTCGTAAATTTATTTTTTCTATAGCTTAGCTTTAGCTTATGCCTGTGGCTCAGGCTCTGCTACTCCACGCGGCCACGTCGGCAGTTACTCGTATAGCACACACACACCACCGCTACTCGCACACTTCACACCAATCCCATCGTTCCGCATTCGGTACTAAGCATATGACCATGAATGACTCCAGCACTCCAACAACAACAACCAAAGAAGCAGAAGGGCGCTACGTCCCAAGGACAGGGTCGGTCGGGGTCACTCACGTAAGGTTTTGTATTTTCTACTACCATCGAACCCGAACCCATCGAACGGACGGACGGTGGCGTCGTGAAATTAAAGAAAAAAAAAAAAAAAGACTATGGGGTGTTTCCCTTCTTCTCCGGCTAACTTCGTTTTCGTGATGAGAGGGGCCACACACAAGCCCCACTCCACTGGCACCCCCCACTGGCACGGCGCCCCTCATATATATATCTCTTGCCGCGCACGCCACCCGTCCGCGGAGAGGAACGGGTGCCGTACAGCAGTCAGTCAGGACTAAAAAAAGGGCCCGGGCTTGGGGCTAGGGAAGCGCCGCCGCCCGCTCGCTCGCTCGCTCTCGCGCTAAAAGCTACGTCAACGGGACGGGCGGCACATGCACAACTCGCGACTGCAATTGAATTGAATTGAATTGTAAGAGTGTGCAACTCCCATTCACATGACGACGTCACGAAATCCGCGCTTGGCCCATGGGCCCGGGTCCGGGCCGGGAAAGAGAGCTCAGCGGAGTGGGGGGCCTTCCCTTCCTCCGAACGAATTCCTCGGGTTTTGCCTTTCCTTTGCGAGTCATGTGTTGTTATTCCTAGGAAGGGAAAAAAAGAAAAAGACAAGGAAAAAACGGTGTATTGGAGTCGGAGATCCGAGATCAAAAGGAACGATTAGTACAGCAGCACCTTCACGCCCTACTCTGAAGGCGCTCCGCGGCTCACGCGACGATGACAGAAAAAGGATTCCCATTAGCCGACTTGAACGACTGACCTCGTCATTACGTAAGCACATTACTAGTGACGCGCTCTACCAACTGAGCTAAACGGGAATACATAAGCTTTGTTATTTGGGAACCATATAACCTGCATCGTTGAATGATCGCTAAACCATTTGCCAGAGTTCCATCAAAAAGCCCCTCTAGAACCCCCTACTCCGGGATCCCATCTGTCAATGAGGTTCTCATTCTCTGTTAATTAATGTCCCGCCGCCATAATATGACACTGTAGGGGTGCAGTGTGACCCCTCGTGAAATTAGGCGCGCCAACACTCCCCCCACCCGCAATTTCAGTTCCACGGCGGAGCAGTGGGGCCCCACAACTCCACTGATTGTCTCCGTATCTTTCCGACCCCTACAGCGATCATATCGGTACGGTATATTTGTAGGGCAGATATTAACAGACCCGACTCATTTATGCCTTCTTCCCTGCGACCACCTGCGTAGATCCTACAGTTGCTTGCCACCACACGACGAAACCAAGACCCAAGAATCCGTGCATGCACCCCCAGACGACTTCTGGGGTGACCTTGTACCTAGATGCCACAGGGCATAGATCAGCTCAGGTGTGTGTGTCCGTGCACAGCGTAAGAGAGCGGTTACTGACGCTTCAAGGAAGGAACCGAAGGAGAAAGGGATGAAACGTGGTGCTTGAAAGAGCACGGTCGATATGAAACTGTGATACACGCAGAGTGCGATCGCAAGCGCCCGCTTTCCAGGAAGGAACTCTAGGGGGATAAAAATAAATTCAATCCACGTTCGCCGCTTTCCTCCAGTGTGCCACGTATCCCACACCGGGCGACTCACCTGGTAGAGAAAAGCAGAGCAACGCCATGATGCAAACGCTCAGCGCCAACGTCCCATACATCTTCCCAAGACGCAGCATATTATTGAGTCTCATCACACAGCTACGTAGTGGTATTACACACCTTTAGCACGACGAGCGTGGTATTGTTCAACTGGAGGAACGGAAGGGTGGCGGGAATCCACATGCCCTGGATGGCCAATGGCACTTCCAAAGCAATGTGGAGTAAGAATACCACGGAGCTGACATCGTTGAGACGGTTCGTGAGCTAGCTGCCGAGGACGAGGACGAGGACGACGGCTGAAAGGACGAGAACGTACAGAGGACTCCGCCCAGGCTGGGACATCGTGCGCTTTGATAGTGCTAGACGGCGATGGGTGTGATGATGGGAGGGAAAAAAAAATATTTGCACAATTGACCACGGGACCAGGAACCACCCCAAAAAGGAAATCAGGATCTGAGATCTTCATTCCATGGGTTCTGGCGCCAGATTCGATCGTTATCTTAAGATGTTATCGCCCGTGGGACCTAAACAAAGATAATTCCATTCCAATCCAATCCCAATGATGCCACTAATGGCGCCAACCTTACCAAATTGAATAATAAAATAACTCACACTTCAGGCTGGCATCACTTCGGCGGTGATTGTAGTTGCGCTCCGCTTTGGACGCGTCCCGGGAATCGCTTGATCGACATCTGGACTCTAAAAGCCGCACTAGCAGAGACAAAACAGCTGTTTCTTGCACCGATCCTCGACCTTCATCGAGAGCAGGATCGGACCTGCCTTCTGAACCCGCTCCAAAAGCATCTCAAGTATCCCCCTCCACTCACCACCACAAGGTTCACGATGCGTCGTTTCCGCAAACTCTATCCTCACCATAGAAAACGGTTCGCACAACTTACCTGCGTAAGCCGCATGACACCGGGTATAAGGTTACTATCGCAGACGCTCGGGCTCTCATGGCATGATGGTAGCAGACAAGCTGGTTTTCCTGACGTGGATGGGACATCGTCCCGGCGCGTTTAATCAAGAAGCTTAGCTTCGACTCGTTTCACAACCCCCGAACCCCTTCCTTCTCTGCGTGATCCGTGCGTTCGATGATACGCAGGAGGCAAACTAGTAGATACAGTACTAGTGCCATGGAACGCGGCGCTAGTACTACATGATGCCGTCACACCGTTCATTTCCGACCCGACCCGTTGAGATCGCCAGCTCGGGCTTGCTTTTGGATTCCGACTTGGAACAAATACAGCTGTTTCAAAGTTCCGGCAAGAGAGGGCGCAAAAGTTCAGGAGTCAGACGGGATATTGAAAGAGGGGGGGGGGGGGGTACCGGAAGATTCGGGGTGGTGGTCGCAGCTTTACTTGTCGTCAAAAGCCGAGCGTGCCGACAGGTGGTGATAGATGATACAATGGGAGAAAGGGATGACCCTGAAGCAAAGGGTTCTCACCCTCCACGTGCTTGTGCTGGTTCGCTGCCCCCCCTCCAGGGCAACGGCTGCACAAGACGACACAGACACGTGGCACCGGCTGAGTAACTGGAGGTGGGCGCGCTGGCGCGCTACGCGGGCTTCGGTTCTTTTTCTCTACCGGCTCACCGAAACAAATATCAAATAAAAACATTCTCGCGCGGTGGCGGGATTAACTCGGTGAACACAGCGATCGCCACATAATGACGGCCCGCGAGAGACGCTTGACAACAGACCTGTCAGATAAACGACGGGAGGCAGTGGACAACGAGTGGTGCGGCTGCCCGACATGCATGTCCGAATCGAAAGAGCTGAGAAGCGCACGAGTAAGCGAGTGCGTACATAGCCTCCCCTAATAGATAGAGATAGGTGCAGGCGTCGAGTGTCAAAGATGCAATGGCCTGGGAATGAGCGAACGGCCTCTCCACCCAGACAGGCTTAATAGGTGGGGTCCTGCCTCCGATAGCGGTTACCACAAGGGCAAAGCGGCTATTGGCCGGTAAACCATGGGATCTGTCGGTAAGATAAGTCATCGCTATGGCATGCCCAAAGGGAGATGCCCTGACAACGGAGCTGCTATATGGCGTCATCCGACGACGAAATTGCGGTCATAGGCTGGGTCTTTACTGACGTCCTAATGCGAGGACAAAACCGAGACATTTTGATGTGCCTCTGGAGGACTAGCGGAAAGGGTAGGTACCGCGATCCTAAGCCCAAGTCAAAAGGACGATAGATAAATGAAATTCAGCGGTCGCGTGCTATCAGACCGGAGCCAAGTTGACAAACCCGGACAACAGGGAGAAACGGCACATGACCGTGAATTTAGTATCCCCTGAGATCAGTCACAATCCCACACAAAGGGGGGATTTTGTCAGGTCAGGAGAATCGTACGTGGTTGCACAATACGCTGTTACCAACGCTACAAACATGATTTCACTTCTTCTCTAAGTCCACGGAAAAAATCTCAACACAGGGTAAGGCGCACTGCCTACATCAACTGCAACTTGCGGTCAGAACTATCACTGTAAGATTAAAGATTACTACTCTACCGCATCTTCCTCCCCGCCATCGTCAGCATAATACGGGTTCGTACTGCGACGCCAGGGACCAAGCTCGCCAAGGTCAACATCGCGTTCTAGATCAATACCTTCCGCGCCCTCTCGCCACATATCCTCGCTCATAAAACCACGCAGACGTTGCACCTCAGACCTGAGCAACGAAATCTCGTCGTCACGCCTTGTGATCCTTTCTTTAAGCAGGCGGATGTAGTCATTTCCGCATCGCAGGAGTTGCAACTTGCTGATACTACGATTTGGACCATCTGTGTTGCCTCGAGGGGGGCCGCGGGGAGGCATAGCCCCCGGTAGGATTGGTTCATCTGGATAGCCGTCCTCACTCGGCAGTGGGATAGGAGGTAGTAACATGCGTAGGTCGTCGAACGTTGTCTTGAGCGAATCACGACGCTTCTGCTCTGCGGCCTTGTGCGACGTCTTACGGAGGACAGGCGATGGTAGGGACGACGAAGCAAGGGTGTTTGAATACACGTTTCCAGCTAATATGGGAAACAATCAGTGCTCCATGGGAGGAAGTGGCGAAGGTTAACATTACCCGGTAAGATAGGTTTTAGGCTCGGGCTCACGAGGGAAACCCCATTGCCTCTTTTGGAAGTGGCAGCAGAAGGGGAAGTGTCTTTCCCACGGCCAGCTGACTTGCCTTTTACTGCGTGAGTTGGGGGCGAAAGACCACTGTTCATGCCAAGTCCTCCCAGGTTCATAATGCTAGCAGGCGTGACAGGCGTTATGTTGTGAAAGGGTCCCCTAGCACTCGCGAGCGACGAGTTTGCGATGGGCATATTTACGGAAGTTGATGCGTTGGGCTCGGACTGAGATATTGGCGGTCCCGGTGGTGGCATTGAGAAATCTACGGGTGAGGGAGTGTCGCCGGGTATATCGCAGCAAGTGCTATTCTTACGTCCGCGGGCACGCGACGAGCGCAGGAGTGGAGTCGAAGATGCGGATTTTGTGCCCCGCGAGTTGCGCTTTGTGGAGTTCGGGGTGGGGGGAACCCGAGGCGTCGGTGACGGACGTTGTCGTGCAATTTTTCTCTGCTCCTCATCAGGTGGCGACGCAGTGCGTTTATTACGTCGGGGCTGCTGACAAACATCGGGGTTATATGGGTCCATCCAAGGGCTTAGAGGCGAGAGATCAAAATCTAAATCTCCCGGTGAAGGTAGGGGCATAGGAGGTGTGGTGTCGAAGACAAGATTAGCTGGCGCGGAATGAGCGTCCTGAGTAGCCGGCATGTGTTGAGGAGGGAGGTGCATATCAGGAAGTAGCTGTGACTGGCCGTTGGATCTAAAGTGGGAGGTGTTGCCATAGCCAAGGGTTATGGGGGAGATGTAGTCCGCATGTGGACTAGATTGGGCATGCAACTCAGCAGAGTTCACTGAGATACGATTGGTTTTGATTTCCCGTGGAGAAGATTCGAAGACTGCACTTACTTGGTGTCGGAAGGCCAAGGAAAGGGTTTGGAGGTTTCTGACGCTCGCTGGAGCCGTCGATGGAAGTTGTGTTGCCTTGACCAGTAAGGAGTTCGAGCTGGACGGATCACCGATGGAGGAGGTCATGCCATGAGAACGCGCTGGAAACGTGAGTAGCATTTGGACGTACTTGTTGCTGGAGGATCTGGTTTTGTAGCTGCAGTTGTTGCAACTGATTAAGTTTGAGACGCTGCTCGAGCACGAGCTGCGGGCTATACTGGCTCTGTGCCATCGAGCCTGT